GTCCCTAAATCTTAACCTCAAAATTTCACAGTGGCGTCTCCTTCAAGGTAATGATATTAGTTTGGAAGAGAAACAACAGGTGAAAAATAAATGAAAAGAGCAACCTTCAAAACTGGAGGTTTCTGCCTCTCATGTGTGCTGTGTCTGACCAGGCACGTGTTAAAATTTGTGGGTTTTTTTTTTAATGCATTCGTGACATTTTTAAATTTGTAGCGTTCACCTTAAAAATTCATATTTCTGTCTTCTTTTGAAGTCAAAAGATCTAGGAATATTGGGCCCTCACAAATGCTAGAGCTGGGCAGCGGCTGTCCCCAATAGACCATATATGTGCCTTCCTCTCTGCACAAATCCCATCAGCTTCTTTAACTCACATTTTTCACTCATCTGGCCCCTGGAGACACTTAAGTTTGCAACTCCTACATTAGACTAATATAAGAAAAAAACTAGATCACTTTGCCTCCGTTTTTTTACAAGTTGGTTGTGACCAGTTAATTGTTAGACCAGCTTTCATTTCAACCTTGAATGCACCCCAACACTTACATCCAGAAGAAATGTCTTTTCCGCATATCAGTGTCTCTTGAAAATATCCGGGACATTCAGCAGTGCAATACATAGAGGCATGTGGTTCCAGAAAGTTGTTATACCAAAGTCGAGCTGTTGTTTTATTAATCCTTGTGATCTGAAATCTTTCTTTGATGCCATTTTTATAAAAATAAAGTTTTCTTGGTTGGCAGTTCTTAATTGCTGCTTGGCAATATATAGAAATATTCAGACCCATCTTAAAAATTGTGGGTGGTTCTACCCAGATGCGGCCAGAGCAGTTTATATTTGTAATTCCTGGAAATAAGTAGATTAAAATAATAAATTCCATGTAAAACATTAAAACAGAAGATTCAGAAGAATATGCTATTGCATTTAAATTTATTCTTTCTATTAATTAAATGATTTTAAACAGAAGTCTTACTTATCATTTACATTTTTCAAGAAGCTGGGAAATGTAACTGGTGCCTTATTTCCCATAAATCTTCTTGGATGGTGTTGATCTGACTCTGGAAGTATCCACTATCCTACTGAAAGGATTCTAGTTCCGATGATGAAGCTACCTCTATATCTCTAATATAATTGTGTCCCAACCTATAGAGCACGGTTTTATGCTTGTCACTACTCTGAGTAACTTGCATCATTTGCAAAGTTTTCTTCAAGGTTTAGAACCCTGCCTTGGTGTTGCTTGTCTCCCAGTAAATTAAACCCTGCCACCTACCCATGTAGGATACCATTGCCTCCAATTGAAACTCTCAAAAGCCAATGGCTGTCATGCCTGAACTTCTGATGATCCCCTTCCTGGATTCCTCAAAGCCGCTTATGTCTGTCATAGTGCCAGATGTTTGCATGAATTATAAGATGGGAATAATAATAGCACATAATACTACTGCACGAAGTCATTGCGAGGAATAAAAGACTTACACAGTGCCTGACACAGAGTAACCATCAACAAATGCTTTGTGGGAGTGAATTAAATTAAAAATATTTATGAGTTATCATATAACAGTTATAAGAGTTCAAAAATAAAACATGCCAACTCAAAGTAATAAACTCCTTCGTGGAAATGTTTATATATGAGTTAAACTTCTGTCTATGAGGGATGCTTGAGAAAGGACTCTTGCATTAGGAGGGAGGTTGGACTTTTTTATTTCATTCTGTATGATTTTTTATGTGGGTATAATTTTTCCCAATATAATAATTTCTGATTCTTCAGAGATCCTAGCATAATGCCTTGAAAATAATAAATACTCAGTATTTTATTTGAATAAAAGGTAACAATAGATATTCAAAATACTACTGTACCTCCATGGCACCAATTGAAGAATATGTAAAGAGCTATTATCACATCCCATTGAACTGTGACCTGATTCATGCCTGAAAGCAGGAAAAAGCTCTTTGTTCTCTTCTAGGAAAATAAAAAAGAAAAATGTTTAAATTGTAATATTTTAATAAAATAACAATAAAACAATAAAAGATATTATATTTTTTTCTTAGCAGTTATTATTGTCTTTTTTTGGCCTTCTCAGTAATATTTTAAGTTACTATTGTCTTTAATGAGAACCTTTGACTAGGAAGAAAAGAAGGAAGGAAGGAAGAAAAGAAGAAAGGGAGGGAAGGAGGAAGGAAACAGCAAAGAAAATTCACTGGTCTGTGAGGAGGTGTAATATAGGTTAAGGAGTAAAACAAAAAATGAAATTTTACACTCTTCGAAAATCACTATGAATTACCTTAGTAGGATATTTTGATCCTTGATATAATACAATTCCTCTTCATCTAGTCTCTGTCATCAGTAATCTCTTTCTGCTCTAACTCCTGCTGATGAATTTTTTCTCCTGACCAGTTTAAACACCTATCAAGCTCCAGAAATATCAACCTTTGATGAGTAACACTTTGGAAAAAACAAAAAATTTCAGAACTTCCAGAGAAAAAGCATTCAAAATAAAGAAAGATGAAGTGAGACAAATTGACTAGTTAAACTTACAGAAAGCCCATTCATCTGTAAAGAACTCAAAGGAAACACATTATAGAAATTCCAAATAATACTGCCATTAGTTTACAACTGGAGTTACATTATTCAGTTAATCAGTTTCTTACATTATTAGCAATTCAGTTATTCAATAATCAATGTTATTTACTTATTTTATCTGTTTAATAAAATCTGAACCTTTAATATACCATTTTTAAAGACTGAGTTTCTCATGACTCATGAATAATTTTTTAATATTAGTAGGTCTTCTCTTTATAAATAATAGGCAAAACAAATGCTAAAATGTTCCTAGTTAGAAGTTAACTACTCACCTAATAGAATACACACAGTAATTATTATTTAAAGTGATGTGATATCAGACAATATTATAGTTTCAACTTTCATCAGTAACCACTGTATAAAATAAAATTTCCTCAGTAACCGCTGTAGAAAATAACTTTGCCCATTTATTTCCAAAAGGAAATATAACTGTTTTTAAGTATTTGGATGATCATTTTTTCTTTACCTTTTAATCCGTTTGAAGCGCATAATTCCACCTCAGAGCCAGGCTGCTAACCTGTGGCCTGCGTCATGTCTTCTTTTCCCACTGCCTATCTGTCAATGATCACTTCAGATTTTCAGCTATGAGGCAAATGGAAATGTCAGCAAAGCCCTGACCTACATTTCAGATTCTTAAAAAGGAACTCAAACTGTTCAATTCAAAATGACTAGCTCTTGTGTTCTTGTGTGACTATTTGGGAAAACCCAGATTACTGAAAGTGAACTGCTTTGTTAGTACTTTCTTTCTCAGATTAATTTAAAATTACCTTAATTTAAGATTCTCATCCAAGAAGTAGAACACATATACATGGTTTATCTGTCAAAATTTTGACACCAAAAATATGTTGCTTAGTTTTAATTTGCAACCAACATTGGTATTAATTATAAATTTGTTTCTTAAGAAAAGAAAATATAAATGATACTGTTGACCATTAATTTATTTACCAAGTATTTTTTAGTATCTACTATGTGCAAGGTATTGTTTGGGGCATTAAAGGTAAAATGGTGATTGATTACAGAACAGCTCCTTTGTTGTATTGTTTACAATGACTAAATTACAGATTAGTTGCTTTGAAGTATTTATTGTTCATGGCTTTGCAGGATTCTACAAGCAAATAAAAAAAATTACCAAGCATTTGGTTGGTTTATACTAGGCGTCTCCAGGGCCCTTTCTTGGCATACTTTTTTTCCTCATCTCCTCTATTTGTTTTACATGCAGATCGTTTCATTTTATATACTCTTTTATATTGTATATGATAATATTTCTTCTACAGCAAAATTCTTGAAATGGACAGTTATTTTCTTTTTTAATTTTTGTATCTTTAATACCTAGTACTTTAGAATACTCTGGGGAACACTCAAAACAGTCCTATGCTTAGATTCATTCTAGACATTGAAATCTTAATTTCTGTGTGGGAAGGCTGGGCATCATTATTTTTTAAAAGCCCCTCCCCACCCCCAGGTGACTATAATAAGCAGTCAGAGTTGAGAACCACTGGAATATACGAATGATTGTTTTTGAAGACCACACAGAAGAAATGACTGTCAACTGGGTTTTAATGATTCATTAACAACTGTCTAACCCGTGAAGGGGAGAGTGTGGGAAAACATTTCACTATCAAAAACAGAATGTGCAGGACGTGGTTCCATAGTGTAGCGGTCGTTAGCACGTCTGCTTTACACGCAGAAGGTCCTGGGTTTGTGCCCTAGTGGAGCCACAGTCCATGGTCCACAGCCATGGCACCCTGAACAAGCCGAATGTCTGATCTCAGAAGTTAAGCAGGGTTGGGCCTGCTTAGATGGGAGACCACTTAGGAAGACAAGGTGCTGTTGGCATAAATAATAATAATAATAGTAATAACAATAATAATAATAATAATAAAACAGAATGTGCAAGTGATACGGATGTTTTGGGACTGGCAAATGTTCCTGCAGGTTGTGGGGAATAGGATTTGAACTGGAAAATTAGATCAATGGCAGAACATAATGGGCTTTGTATTCCTGCTAAGGAGTTTAACCTTTATTTTGATGTGAGTCAAAAGATAGCAAAGTGTTAAACAGAGAAATAACATAATCAGATTGGATTTTAGAAAGATAATTCTAATTAAAGAGTAGAGAATTGATTGAAGATGAAGAGCCCAGTTAGGAAGCTTTTGAAAATCAAAAGCTGATGAGGACCTACAGCAAAGCAAAGGCAATAAGAAGAGAAAGAAAGAATTGAGAGCTATATGGAGGCGAATTGGACAGACTGTCATGACCAATATAGAAATGGTGACTTCTGGAATTGTCCTAACAACCTGTGTGGGAGGTTAAGGATTCACGACACGAAGAATGACCCTAGTGGCTATTTTCGCTGACTGAATAGAGAACGACATTAACCGAACACACAAAAAAAGGATGTGTGATGGTGAGTAAGTGATGAATTTGGTTCTGGGTATGTTGATTTGGAGGGACTTATTTTATATTCAGAGATAATTGTCAGATTGTTGTAGACATTGGTAAACTTGGGAGAAAAGTTCGAGCTGGAGATCTAAATTTGGAAGATTTCAAGGTGATTGCATATAAAATGCATGATCCTGAAAACATATATTGGTAAGTATATTTCAAGTTAACACATCATAAGGACAAATACATCATAATGCAGCATTTTAGATACGTGCCACCCCCCACCCCCGGCCCCACACACACACTTTTTAAAAATCCACTTTAGGAATCTTAAAGCCAGAACAGAAGGAAAAAACTAAAACTGTAGACCTTATGTAATTGTGCTTTTCCATAAATTTACCTGCCTGTTGTAGATTGAAAATATCTTTAGTTTCCCTGTCCAGAGGCAACGAACATTGTCATAAACTAACTGGCTCCAGGAAGGGGCTCTATGAGGTAGATAGGTTAAGATCTCCAAGTTTAAGCAGTATAACTAGACCAAGACTTGAAATATTAAATTGTTGCCTAGCGACACTGGTCTACCCATTGAAGAGCAAGCCTAGAAGGCTCTATTTTGCCTTAGGATACAGGTGCCAAATGTGGGTGGGAATGAGCAGAACAGGGAGTGGAATTTTGAACCCTGAAATGAGTACCTAGCAACAACTTATCTCTAAATAGAGGTAGAAAACCTACCACTTCTATATAGGGAAGTGACACGGCAGCTCTCACATTTTTGAATAGGCCTGGCTTATGGGTGGTAATCTGTTCAGAGAAGGGTACTAGAGAACTTGTCTTTAATTTGTGCTTGCATAGCAGGTATACCGATTTTACTCAGATTACTGCATTTCCTTGAAATGGCTTTAGCCGGGGGAGCATCTTATATTATATGTGTATGAAGCTCCTAAGCCATGCCCTTGGAATTACCACTAAAAACACAAATAACATTAGATAGAATCAATTTGGAAGGCTTAAATTTTGTTCCATAATGATCTAGCAAATCTGTATAGAGTGAGGAAATCAATATTATGAAAGGACAGGAAGGGAGAAGAGTGGTTGGATGAGTTGGTTTTTAAGAAGAGAAAGTGGTAACAGCGACCCATAGAGGCCAGAGGAAGTCCCCTAATATATGAGTACGCTCAGGGAAGACATTTTTAGCATTTCTGCACAATTCTTGGTAAGTAGGATGCAATGGTCAGCCCAGTCTCTCTTTACACCTGAGTGGAAAATAGTGTCCCCCTTACTGTATTATAACGGGTAAAGTGTGATGGGGTCCCTTCTCACTTCCTGCCTGGGACAAGACATATATCTACTTTCTTTTTTGAGCAAGTCACAAATCGAACCAAGATGACAAAAGAAAGCCTTTAGAAATGCAAGATAAAAATAAGACAAGACAGGAAGGATTTTGTTTGTTTGTTTGTTTTTCCTGAAATACATAACAGGAACTGTACTTTGAAACAACTCCCCAGTTCTTGGCTAGAATAAGTCTAATTGTTTAATAAACTGTTGACGATAAATGCGCTTTTTCCTCTAAGCTTCTTTTTTTAAAAAACCAAGAGAGGCAGTTGCATGGGTAGGCCCCCAGAAATGGAGGACGAAAAAAGAAGCCTCCCTCATGTCCACAGATGTGCTAAGAGCTTGATCCTGGAATATAGAACTCTTTTGAACTCTCCAATATATGTAGACTGTGTGTAATTAAAGTGAAGAGTTACTTGGTGATTGATGGTGCCATCCTGCATTCTGCTGTTATAGGCCTAATAAATGGCTGCACATTCCTTTAGTGCCTTCTCTCTGCTAGCACACACTGTGCCAGAGGCTGTGACTACAGAAGAAGATGCTAATGGCTTTCAAGGACTCCGAAGTGGGAAAAAAGATGGTATTTAAAAATTACATTGAAAAGAATAAGATGCTAATGGAAAGATATGAAAACAGTTAAGAGGGCAGAGAGGAATTTACAGCAGTCTAAGGTCCACACTTTTGCAAGCTTCAGCCCTGAATGCTAACTCTGGTAGAGCAAAGCTTACCTGATTTGGGTCAATAACTCAGGCTCGGTTTCTTGCCTGTTTCCTCCAGTTTGATCTCACACTTGTGACACTGAACTAAATTTTATTATACCAGCTTCCCTTCCCTCTTTCAACTCATTATCCTATCATCCTCCAATGGGTGTGTGTAGCACGCCATATTTATTTTGCTTCACTGAAGTGCCCAGCTCTCTGTCTGGGCCTGCCTTACTTTTCAACACTCACAACTCTGAGTAATTACAAAAAGTACAATTTTAGTTCCACAGTCTTTATTTAAAAAGGTAACAGAAAATATTATTCATTTCAGAAAACTTTTAATCAAAAATATTGAACTTATTCTTCTAACTTCATGACATAGAAGTTATAACTTTAATTATCTTGAGGATATTTTTACCTGGTAGAACTCGTTCCTCAAATTAGCCAAAATAAATGAGGTGTTTTATTTTATTAATTTTCTCAAACACCAAATTAATAACTGTTATTCATAAAAAGTCATGTAGACTCTGTGAAGAGAAATAAATACCATAAATCTTTTGACTCATCCAAAGGATGGTACCTACATGCAGCTGCTCAATTCTTCTCAACATCAAACACCTTATGGCTCATTCAGCTCTGTTGGAGGAATAGGTGTTATAGGCTGAATCATCACTATTTCCTGTAAGGTATGCATTAAAGGTCAACTTTGTCTTATTTGCTCTGAGTTTCTTAGAAACTTAAGAAGTGGAGGTGAATTCAAAACCTTCAATGTACAACTCTAGCTCTTGAAGATTGCATACATATTTTAAAGAGGTCAATTTCCAAATTATCAACTTCCATATGTGCCTTTTCCTAAATTTGATTTTTCTGAGAATCTTTCTCTCACTTCATAAAGAATGGTATTCCTCCATCCAAAATCTCAGCATTGTGTATTACCATAGATATAAATAGCTCCAAGGTAAAAATCAAACAAATAAATGGGAATATTGGTTTTAGGAAGGCTTCCTTGGATAACTGTTCAAGGAGCTTTAAACTCATAAGGCTTCTAGTCTTTAATATTTTTATATATTTTTAGAATATATATATATTTTAGAAAAGAAA